GACAAAGCTGACAAACACTGGGGTCAGATCTGTGGTATTGCAAAATGTGCTGCCTACAAACATTCTTGTGAAGATAAAATGGGAAATAAAAAATGGGCAGTAAAATGGGGAAAAGGATGTCCAGAGCCAAGGCTCAGGAACTGATGCTTTCAACGTGTATTGTTTATGTTCCATTTTATTTAATGTCTTTGTTTATGAATCAAGTTGTAATTTGAAGAACAGACCCTGTGCTTTCTCTTGGTCCCTGTGCAGTACTCCAGCTCAGCTGGAGAAGCTGTGAGCCTCTGGTTTGGATAACATCTCTCCTGTTCCTCATCCTTTACAAACCCAGTGACTCTGCAATCCCAAAGCATTGCTGATTTCAGAATTAAGCTTTACACGTGTTTCTGCTGCATACATGTGTACATTCACAAAGTCAGAGGCATGTTTGAGTAAACAAATCCAAACCCTCTCATGCTGCAAACATTTCCCAAATGTCTCTTCCTCCTCATGGTCTCTCAGGCGGTCAATCCCCTTCCCAGGTGGCTGCCTTGGGCTTCCATTTTATCAGAATTGCTTCAATTTTGTGTAAGATTCCTGCTGATTGTCTACAAGGTCCCTTCTCTGCCAGTCTCTGTTCCCCTGGGACGGCAAATCTAACTCCAGCAATCTGCTGCTGGATCCTGAATTCAGGAATTGTGCTTATTGTAAAAATGGGAAACTGTGTGAGAACTAGAACTGCGTGAACATTGAGAAGCTGGGAATGAGAGGTGTGAGCTGGATGGAATTCTCGTTATAAGTCTGGGTTTCTTAAATTATTTTGACCTCTGAAACTTAAGGTAGGACAGGAATCAGTGGAGGTGGTTGGGAGCGTGGGTAGATCCTGATTCTCTGTGTGCTCAGTGAGGGGGTTTCTGTCCTGATCTGCCTCCAGAGCAGTCGCTGTGTTGGTTCAGAGTGAGAGGCTCTGGTGCACCCAGCAAGCAGCTCTGCTCCTCTGAGCCTGTTGCTTCACTTGGGAGAGGAACAGTAAAGAGCAAAACTGTTGCTGCCTTCCTGCCAAACAGTAGAAAGTCGTATGTTTTGAAAGCATCAAGGCAGAACACTGACTTATTTCACATCTCCTCTTATCCTGATGATAATGTGCTATTCAGACTGAGTTGGGAGATGTTTTATTGCCTACTTTAATGCCTTCATGAAACCATCTTGTTTCTGGAGCTGCTGCTTTGTCACGTGTTCAGAAATACTGCATGTGCTAAACTTCAGCTTATTTAAGCTTCAGAGAATTGCTTTTCTCTGTTCAGGGTATGAATGTATTGTCAAATAAGACATTTGTTTCCATTTATACAACTTGCAATTTGGTAATAAGCAACAGATGGAAAAGAAGTATCCAAATTCTCTTGTATAAAATGTCTTATGGATTTCGTTTTGTAAAAGCAGGCCAGTTCCAAGTCCTGCAAATGCCATTAAAAAGTACACACAGTAATAATGAAGAAAGAGAACAGAAATACCTGAAACTTAGTGAAGTGATATGAAATGTAGTACTGGCTTCTGAATATCAACCCAAAAGCTGTTTCAGGGTTCAAGGGGTGTTCTCAGCTGGTCTGACTGTACTGACCAGTCGGTGGGTGTTCATCAGAGGGCAGAATAAGTAATTTTTGCTTTTTACTACAAAGTTGTAACTTGACTGACCAAAGGCAAATGTGGACAACATTCAGTGGCAGCAGTGCTGTGCTGTGGCCTTTCCTCTGTTCTTGAGGTGACAGTCACAGCCTGTCCCTGTCCTCCCTGGAGGGAAGGACGGACAGAACTGGTGTTCCTGTTCCTCATGAGGTTTTGAGGGCCCTCGGGTACCCTGGTTTGGTGGAATGGAAACCGTCTGCAGGGCTGCACTGCCTCCCTGTGGCTTCTCCCTTCATTCCCAAAATACTGTATTGGAATGAAATCGTGCCTATGGAGTGAGGCCACCCTGGCAGCCCGGGGGGGCTGTCACTGCCAGGGGCAGCCCGGGGGGGCTGTCACTGCCAGGGGTCTGGGGGCTTTTCCTACCTGAATGATTCTGTGACAGACAAGGCAAGGGCTGGGAATGCTGTGATATTACAGCAAGTGGAACTGCAATAGAGGTGTAAGAGAGCTGCAGAGGGATTGTTGATACAAACAGATGTAAATTGTAAACCCTGATTAGTGTCACAACCAAGATGTAAGGTTATAAGCTCACATATTTCTCCTTTCCAAACCACACCTTGAAAACTCAATCTGATATTTTTAGCCCAGCTGACTTATTCAGGTGGCAGGTCAGCACTTGAGCAAGTCCCTGCCAATGTCTCCATGGCTGAGCACTATGTGGTGACAGGCAATCCCAGCCCTGACTGTCCTGACATGGAGCACAGGGCTCAGGAGGTGCTGGCTCTGGGCAGGGTGACGTGCTGGCCGCTCTTCTTCCCATTGCAGTTTTAAACTTGGCTTTAGTCTGCTTAACTTTGCGTTAATTTTTTTCTGAAATGCCAGTAGCTTGGAATAGATGGAAATGCAGAAGTTGGCAAGGAGGGCATGCTGCATGGCTCTTGGTATGCTGTGAGGAGGAAGAGCAGAAAAATGGGGTTTCATCATCATCATATAATCATAGAATGGTTTGGGCTGGAGGGGATCGTAGAGATTATTTCATTCCAACCCCCTGCTATGGGCAGGGACAACTTCTGCTAGACCAGGTTGCTCCAAGCCCTGTTCAACCTTATTTAACAAAATTAAATAAAGAGGGAAAAGACTAAACCAAGTGTTTGTTTGCTTTAGAAAGTTCTGAGCAGTGGGATAGTAGATGCTATGCAGCAAACCAGCAGTGGTGGGTGCTGGTGCTGGCTCTGGAGAGCGCTGGCAGTGTGGAGGCTGGTGCTGGGTGTGGCACTGAGGGTGATCTCTGCATGGCACTGAGCTGGAGTTTAATGATCACGTGTTTCATTTGACACCCCATCCCTTGTCTGAGGGGGGTCTTGTGCTGTCCCAGCTGGCCCCTTTGACTGAAAGAGATCTAATAAAATTGGCATCAGGGCATTCCCATATTACATGTGATGCTTTAGGGTTCCCTTGGGTAAATGGTGAGTTTAGTTTATGATTCCCTTTATCTGGGAGTGCTGTGGGTTAGGGAAGGCTGCTGGGGCAGTTCACTGGAGGGCAGAGGGCTGGATCTACCAGCAGATGAGATGTTGGTCTCTGAAGGCTAAGCACTGTGAGCTCCTGCCTAAGCTGAAGGTGACCTCAGGGCAGGGACAGAGCAGAGCCCAGGCTGCCACTGCACAGCTGTGCTTCTAGCTTGAGACCAGCATGGAAAGAGAGGGGGAACCTTCCTTAAGTGCAACAAAATAAAGCACCAGTTTTGTGGTGGTTCCAGGTCTGGCCATGTCTTCCCCTGCCCTGTTTTCCCATGCCAGAGCAGTGGTCACACAGAGCAGCTGTCCCGGGAGCTCCTGCCACTGCTGGTGAGGGGCAGGGCAGGAGAGGGCTTTGTCCTCCATTCCCCATCACCAAGCTGTGCCTTCTCTTCCTGTGTGACCTGAAATCTGGTTCCTTTACCTGCGTTTTACCTCAGAGCCCCCGAGAAAAGGTCTGAGCTGTGCAAAAAAGGAGATGGGTTTGCTGGTCTGTGTCCAGCCCTGCGTGTACACAGGAGTCTGCTGCTGGAACCCAGGCACTGTGCCAGGCTGGGCTCACCTGTCCCTCTCCCCAGCACCTGGTGTGGCCTCCAGGGCAGGTGAAGTGACCACAGAGCCATGTTCTCTTGGTTTTGCTGGAGTGGGTCAAGAACATTGTGTTTAACCAGCTGCTGTGCTGCAGAAGGACTGAGGAGGGAGCACAGGGTGTCTTGTCCTGACTGAGGAGGAGAGCACAGATGGAGTTTAAAAACACTTGAATAGTTTGGAGGTACCCAGAGCTTAAAGCAAATGTCTGAAAGTTTGACTAAGGTCTGCTTCTCCTCTGTGTTTGGGCTGGTGGCACATGGTTCATCTTGAAGCCTTCTGTGATGTTTTGTGCTCTGCTCCCCCAGTGGATGCTCCAGCCCCACGGGCTGCTCAGTGTGAGGGCACGGGGATGTGGTGCTTCACTGTTGGTAGAACTTCAGCAAAAGAAATAACTCAAATTTTAAACTGAAAAGGTAAACCCCCTCAATTATCTCTAAAGCAGGGTTCCTGGGGCTGCAGCTGTTCTGTTCACCCCCCTCGTGCGTGTGCCTGCAGTTGTGGTGTTTCCTTGGTGAAATTATTACCTGTTTGAATTGACTCCTCCCCATCCACCCTCTGCAGAAGTGGCGGCCTCTGGGAGATGCGTAGAAATCTCTTAATGCTGAGAACAGTGGCAATTAAATCTGATCTGTCAAATATTAGCCAGAAGCCCTGCCCTGTAAAAGATTGTTTTATCTGCCAACCCTACTATTGCACAAGGGGCTGGTGTGTTGTGTGTGCCAAAGGTGCCTTTGCCAGGGCAGGAGGTGCCGGCTCCTGCCTGAGGAGTGGCAGTGGGTCAGCTGCTGCCATGGGCTGATCCCACCAGGCATCCCTGTGAGCCGGGCTCTTGGCGAGCCGCTGCCCCGGGGGGCATAGCTGTGCCCGGGGCTCTGGTTGAGCTGCTGCCCTCCAGAGTGGCTCCTGAATGTCCAAGCCATGTGTTTAGATCTGTGTGTCACCGTGTGCAGCTCACAGCCACATCCTGCTCCTCGTTTCTCACAGCTCTCCCCTGCAGAGTCCTGGGGCTGGCCGCTGCCGCCAAGGGCAGGGACGGGTGCTGAGTGTGCAGCCTCGCTGCTTAATCCGGGCTGGGCACGCCAGCTCGGTCACTCGCAGGGCTGCACGCCTGGCTGGGGAAACATGTTTTCTTGGGAGCCACAAAGGGGAGTAACCTCTGCCCCGTGTGATCCGACGAGAAATCACTCCCTGGCCGGGACTCAAACAAAACACGGGATTAACTTTGCCCTGCGCTGACTCGTGGCCGCTCGCAGTCGGTGAGAGCTGCTCTCCCCAGCCCCAGCGGTGCCCGCAGCCATGGGGGCCAAGCTGCTCTGCCTCTGCCTCCTGCCAGCCCTGCTCGCCTACTACATCTACATCCCCCTGCCCGCGGAGCTGGCACAGCCCTGGAGAGTGATGGTCCTCTGTGCCCCCTTCAGGGCCGTGGGGCACCTGGTGAGTGGGGAGGGCTGGGGAGCAGGGGGGGTTCTCGTGGAGACACGGCAGTACATAGGTGCCATACTGCATATGTTGAATGGCTATGGTGGTATACTCAGTGAAGGACTGCATTAAACTTACTGCAACTATGATAGACCTAAGAATAGAAAAGATTTAATTGTGCAATCTTGAGAAAAGGCCATTTGGAGTAACTGGAATATGATGTTGGGTGTGACCACAGCCTGACAAGCACAGATGAGTTTCTTTTGCTTCACAGTCCTGTGTGGCTGAAGCACTACTGCTCGAATCATTCTGCTTCTCAGCCCCTGTGTACTGAGATCCCTCAGCAGTGTTGGGTGTCAGGGGAGGGAAAACTAGAGCTGCTCCTAAATACTATTGATTTTTGTGGTTTCATGGAAATCTACTGACAGAATGAGCCTAAAAACTACACCAAAGTAATTATAGGGGAGATAGTGCTAGAGCATGTAGAGATTAAGCCATGTGTACATAAAAATAAAACTTCTTTTAATACCACTGTGATCTTGCCTATGTAAAAATGGTCTCTAGCTCCTGAGTGCAGAGCTGTGTGTTACAGCCTTTCACAGGTGCTGGTGTTACAGCCTGGCTGCAGTTCTAGGCCAGTATTTACTGCCAGCATGGTCTGTGTGTCCCTCTGTGCTATTTTAACATGTACGACATCCCTGGTTTCTGCTTCACTTCAGGCACGTTACAGACCCTTCCAGCACGTGGAAGTGGTCTGTGAAGCTGCACATCGTGTGTAAATAACGGTGCTGGAGCTCCCACCTCTGAGGTGCAGTAACTGGGAGCTGGTTTGAACCCAGGCTGTCCTTGCTGTACAATGTGGCTGCAGCAGCGTGACTGAAACCTAAAAACAAGGTCAAAGATGAAGGTTTGGGGGGAGGAAGAGGGCTGAATGTTGCAAACATCTTCCTGGGTGGCTACAAATGTTGTGAGGCTGCTTTTCTTTTTGCACAATAAAATCTGTTAAAAGAGGGGTCTAAGGAGCCAGGAGAGAAGCTGCTGGGTTTGCTGGGGGGATGCTGCTGGAAGGCTGGGCTGCTGCAGCCACCAGCACCCGGGCTGTTGGCTCCAAAGGGCACTAGTTTGGTTTTGCCTTTTCTGTCACTCCAGTTGCAATATAGTGGGTGTGATTCTCAGAAGTCCTTGAGAGACACTGCATTTAGGATTTTCTAGTGGAGACAAGGGTACACAGCTTTTTGGGATGTCTCCTAAACATCACTCTGGAGTGTACCTAAAAGCCACTGATGTCCAGAGCTGTGAGGCAGCCCTTGTCAGCAGGGGAGACTTTATTAGGGTTGTCCAGCCAGCAGGGGTGAGGGATGAGGGGTTTTTTGGTGTGTATCATGGACTCTTTGCTGCCCTCTCTCTTTTTTTCTTTTTTTTTTTTTTTTTTTTTTTGGGGGGGGGGGTGAGGTGGTGGGAGATTTAAAAGGGTGGGAAAGAATCTGTAGTCTGCACTGTTGACGTGCTGTGTTGCTGCTTCCTCTCCCAAATCTCCTGCTGGAGGGGGCCTGCAAGGAGGGTCCGTGCCTAGGGAGCTCATTGCCTGTGCACCCCAGGCCCGCTGGCTGGGTCAGACTGTCACCCTTGGCACAGCAGTGCCAGTGCAGTGCTGTCTGTGTGCTGGTGGATCAGGTGTTGTCACTGGCACACGGAGCTGGCGTCTCTGGAGCTGCTGTCCCAGCTGCCTGGGAAGCCTGAGCCCGTTCCCCACAGTGCTTACAGGGCAGTGACTCGTGGTCACTCGTGGTAGGTCTGCAGAGGGGACCCTGCTTTAGTCTTTGAGTTTGAACACAGGGAGCAAACTGCTGCCCTCGAGCACTCCTGAGCAGCAGAGTCCTCTCTGAGCTCACAAAAGGATGTGTCAAGAGCACCACGAAGTGGCAAATCTCCCTCCCCTGTGCTGTGGTGGGTTCTGGGGAGCCCCCAGCCCAGCAGCCCCGCCGGGGTGTGCCCAGCCCGCCCCTCTGTGCCGGTCCCACTGCAGCAGGGAGGCTGGGAATGGCTCCCATTGCCTGTCCACGTCCCATGGCCCTGTGCTGCCGAGCTGGGGGACAGCCTCCAACAATGCACCAACCACTTGCTTTGGTGCTTGAGCAGAAAATGCTTCAGGTGTTTTAGGAAGTGCTCCATGGCCTCGGTTGAAACGTGAAGAAAGTATAAAGTGCAACTCAATGTCTTTGCTGTGGTTCTGTGACGTCCTCCCAAAGCTCCCTCCTTCCTTGGCCCCACTCCTCAGAAGCACTGAAACCCAGACTCAAGCCTTTTCCAGCCCCACTCACAAACTGCTTGTGTCCCTGCAGGCTGATGGGGAGCTTCTCTGGAGAGTGTCCCATCTAGAGCATCACCCCTTGGGATAACTGAACTGCTGAAAGTCGTGAGGGTGCTCCACCTGCCCAGGCACAGTCAGGCTCCCCTCCTCCTCCTCCATATATTTGGGAGTTTTGTTCTTTCTGCCCTGCTCCTTTATGGAAGAGGGAGGAAGTGACTGTGGAAAATGCATGAGGATCCCAAACCCCAAAGTGGTTGGTTTTGCTGTTAACCTGTGACACCCTGTAATCTCACACTGGGACAATGAGGATTTTCATATGACAGCATGATTTCCTTTCATTTCCATAGGATAATGGCCTGGAAACCACAGGCAGCAGCTCAGTGGTTTTCTACAATGCAAATTGTCCAGTTGTGGAAAACACAACTGCTAGTGCTGAAAATCCTCAGTGCTGGGGCTCAGGGAATTCCTTTCACCATGGGGGTTTCACAAGCTCAGTGGAATCACAGCAGGGCTCACTTTGACAGATAGATTTGTTTTTTCAAGACACTAATCCTGGGGGAAAAGGCAACAGTTGAGAAATATTTACATAAACTATGTAAATGTTGTGGCTAAAACTGCAGTTCTGGCACACACGTGTTTGTTTTTGTGGAGCTGAAGGCAAGGACCTGTGTTTCCCTTTGTGGTGTGCCAGGGACTGCCCACTCATCTCCATCCCAATTCCAACTCACTGGGATTGGCAGGGCTCCTCCTGGCACCACCTGCTCTCTCCTTCAGAGAGAGGTGACTGGTAAAATGTGGTGACAATGGCTGTCACGTACTGTAAGGGCTGAGCTCTGTGCTCTTGGAAAAAAAATACAGCAAGCAAACCAAAGACTGTCTGACTTACACCATCAAAGTCTGAATGCTAGAGCTTACACCTGTCAGCAGGTGATCTCGTACAGTGGGGGGGCTTCACATTCTTCCTGAGGAGAATAAAGCATCTCTTGGAAGACAAAAATCCAACAGTCTGCACCAGGCTCGGCTGTTTTATTTCTTTTTAAACTCAAACCTGCTCTGAGTTTCATCTGTTTCCACCTTCAGATAACGTGTAAAAACTTGGCTTTGTTACTTAACTGTTTCTGTTGTGATGTGATGAGGCAGGGAGGAGGCTGGGGTGGAAAGTGAGTCGTGTCATGTCACCTGGGGCAGTGGTGGAGGAGCCGGGCTACTGGTTCTGACAGTGGCACAGTGGCCGTGGGTGGCTCTGTGCAGTGTGATCCCTGTGCCACTCCCACGCCATGCTGGTGCCAGTAGTGCCATTCCCACGCCATGCTGGTGCCTGTGGCAGGCACAGGAGCTGTGGGTGGCTGTTGGTGGCTCTCTGTGGCACGATCCCTGTGCTGGTGGGTCTCTGAGCTGGTCAGTGTGCTGTGGAGGTGACCCACATAAACACTGAGCACGAGTCTGAGGGCAGGTACAAAGCAGCAGCCCCGGTGCCAGCGCTGGGCTCTGCCCCAGCTGGGCAGCAGTGACACAGAGTGAGCGACCGGCACCGAGTGCTCCTTTCAGTGCCAAGCTCCCATCAGAGGGACACACCCGGGCCTGTTGTTGTCGTGACCTACACAGCAACTTCACGGGCTTGCACAGGGCATCGAGTGCCTTCATGGAGAGTTAATCTGCGAGTAACTGAGGCTGCACTGAAAGCACTGTTTGCCCTTGTCTTTAGTCCGCGGTGCTGGATCTGCTGGGGCTGATGCACTACATGGAGGGCATGAGGCTGATCACAGCTATGGAGACCGTCATGGTCGCATCCGATGAAAACGTCACTGTGACAGACACCGAGTTCAACAACGTCCCCGTCCTCCTGTACCTGCCCAAGAGGGCACCTGACGGGCTGAGGAGGGCCATGGTCTACTTCCACGGTGGGGGGTGGTGCCTGGGAGACGCAGGTAAGTGCTTTTCCCTTGGTGCCAGGGGTCTGTGGAAGATCTCAACAGCCCGTGTCAAGCGCTGCCTTTTGTTTTTTGGGACTTACCACAGGGGAGGGTCAGGGAACTGGTGTGTCAAGAGTTAAAAGCAGGTGGAGGTTTGGGAAAGTCACCTGAAAGCTTCTGCCAAGAGGAGCATCAGGCTGTGTGTGTGCCCGTTCTCACAAGTACTGGGGTGTATTCCAGTGACTTGTTTCATTTCAGGCATGAAATCCTACGATCACATCTCACGGCGAACTTCAAACGAGCTGGATGCTGTCGTGGTGTCAGTCAAGTAAGAGAGTCTCCTTCCAGATGGGATGAGGGTTTGGAATAAATTAATTTGTTTCAATTAATATAATTTTGCAATACCTCTGTCTTTGGTCATGTGTCTTCCTGCTGGCTATAAGCACTTGTGAACCGAGGCCACCAGGGTGGCAGTGGTGAACTGTGGTTGGTGGCTCTTTTGGCTTTATGAAGACGGGGGGTACTGGAATACTGGACTGTCCTGAATAGACTGTTCCCACTTCTCTGGGCGCAGAAATAACAAACGTGCCCCAGCTCAGGCAGACATCAGTGAGCCCTTCCCTTTGTTAACAGCGGGGACTGACGCACCTCTCTTGCCTCCACAGCTACAGGCTGGCCCCTGAGCACCGTTTCCCAGTGCCCTTTGACGACGTGTACTCAGCGACCAAGTTCTTCCTGCAGAGCAGTGTCCTGGCCCAGTACGGGGTGGACCCTGCGCGGGTCTGTGTCGCAGGGGACAGCGCTGGGGGCAACCTGGCTGCGGCTGTGGCACAACAGGTACGACTAAAGCCTGGGCTGCAAGCTCAGAATAGTTATTTTTGTCATTTCACGGCCGCTAACAAGCACCTCAGCTCAAAGCACGTGCAGCTCTCGTGGTCTGTGCACACAGGACGTCCCACAGCCCACGGGAGCCAATGTGCCTGAGCCACTCAAGGGCAGCAGAGGAGCTTTGGTGTCATCCAGACCTTTATACCCTAAATAAGGCTCTCTGCCCTCTAATTGGGGCATACATCATGCTAACCTTAAGCACATATTGACTGGTCTAGGTATGGTGTTTGAAAAGGGAATTTTAACAATTTGGCTCATAAAGATGTAAATAGCAGGGTAAAAAATCTCAACCAAACAAAAAACCAGCACTAAGTGTTCCAGTGTCTGATCACACAGTTCAGTGCCTTTTGCACTTCTCACTCAAGATTATTAAAAAAAAGCCAACATCATGTTGTTGCTCTCTTGAGAACTTGTTTGGATTGTAATGGATCTCACTGGGAACACTGGTGAATTTGCTGTGGATGCTGAAGGCAGAAGATGAGGGAGAAAATGGAAGATTTATTAGTGAAGAGGGGAAAAGAATGACATATAAGAAATGTTAGTGTTCAATTCATCACATTTTATTTGTCACATCTCTAAAATGCACAGAATTGCAGTTGCTTGAGTTGTAACACCTCAGGGCTGAAAACCAACCAGTGGATAAGCTCCAAATTGTGGGAAATTATTAAAGGAGATTCAGAAATGTGAAATTTTCATGATATAAGAACAGAAAATTTCTGCAGTTATAGAAAAAACATTGGTTACTACTTCAGAAAGCATTAAAGCCTCCAAAAGAGTATTTCCCAAATATCGTTATCCTTCAACATAAGAAATAAAATGAAATTGTATTTGATGTTTGTGAATTTTTAGCACAGCACATTGTTTTAGGTGACCCACCTATGGATTCAGAATTTCTTTACTCTATCCTGGTTTTATCGATTTTATTTTGCTCATGTTGTGAAATGAGTGTCTTATTTCCTTACTTCAGATCTTTTGTCAGTGTGGGAGAGCCAGCGCTTTCACTGACTCTTTGAAATTATCTGTTTTCTTCTACAGCTGTTGGAGGACCCTGAAGTCAAAACAAAGCTCAAAGCCCAAGTTTTGCTCTACCCTGCCCTGCAGGCCCTGGACCTGGATCTGCCGTCCTACCGAGACAACGCCAACAAGCCCCTCCTGTCCAGGTCGCTCATGATCAGGTTCTGGAGCGAGTATTTCACGTCAGACCCCTCTCTGAGGGAGGCGATGGCCTCCAACAGGCACGTCCCCGCTGAGGCGGGACACCTGCTGCAGTTTGTGAACTGGAGCCGGCTGCTGCCCGCGGGGATGCGCCAGGGGCACGCGTACGCGGCCCCCACGCCGGGCAGCGCGGCGCTGGCACGGCGGTACCCCGGCTTCCTGGACCCGCGGGCGGCCCCGCTGCTGGGCAGCGATGCCCGGCTGCGCCAGCTGCCCCCCACCTACATCCTGACGTGCGAGCACGACGTGCTGCGGGACGATGGTGCCATGTACGCGCAGCGGCTCCGCAACGCCGGCGTCAGCGTCACCCACGACCACGCGCGGGACGCCTTCCACGGGGCCCTCCTGTTCATCTCCTGGCCCTACGAGCTGGCCGTGGGGCACCGGCTCTTCGACAGATACGTGCAGTGGTTGAAGGAGAACCTCTGAGCCCCCCACGTCTGCCCGGCGTGGCCGAGGGCACGGGGCTGTGCCAGCTCTCGGCCCTGTGAGCCACGGCCAAGGTGCTCTGCAATGCTCTGCAGTGCTGGGACCGGAGCGTTTCCGTCGTCTCTGACAGGAAATCAGTCTGATTCTGATCTGAGCATTCTTCCAGTGCTGTCTGAGCCTCAAACCTGCCGGGACTGCCCTGGGCTTCCCCTCCTGGCCCTGCAGCCTCTGGCACTTGGTGTCTTGTCTCTGTTGCCGCTTCTTTCTTCCTATCACAACACCTTCATACCACAGGCATGTGCCAGTGGGCCAGGTCACTGTGGGCACATGGGAGGCACTTGGTGGCTGCTTTCTCCCTGTCCCTCACGGCTCTTCTTTCCCATGGGATGTGCCAGCAAGGCCCTGCTGCTGCCAGGGGTGATGGGATGAATGGGGGCACCAGGGCCAGGTGCCAGGCAGCTGGTGGGACCCACCCATCGCAGGCAGTGGCTGGGCTGGGGCTGCTGTCCCTACCCAGCAAGGCTCCAGGGAAACCCAGTGGGATGGCCAAAAAATTGTGCAAGTGTTTTGGGGTATGGGGGGGAGATTGTTAAATTTTTTTTTAAAAAGCACCTGTCTTGCTCATACTCACTTTCTTTAATCCTTGAACTAGCAGGAAATAGTGCAACAAACCAGCACTGGATTTTCATCAGGAAAAGGGAAGCTGTGAAGGTCCCAGCCTTACAATAGCACTGCTGCATGGTCCATGCTCTCCTTATCTGATAGGTCATGTACTATGTGTTCTAATTGTCCTTAAACTTGTTTGGTAGTTTTTACATATGATTTTTTTAAAGTAAAATTAGCTTAGTAGCTTTATAGGTTTGAAAGAGTTCAGCTTTCTGTGTGGAACAAATAACCTGTGTGTAAATGTTTTGTGTGCTAAATATAAACCTTAAAACTTTGAAACATGAATACGGGGGTTGGCTGTTGGTTTAAGATAATCAAACCATGGCCATGTACTTTGTGTATCCTGCTTTTCTTTTGCATAAAAGATACTGAATCTTCAGTGATTCTGGGTTATTTTTCCTGAGTGTGTGCTGCCTGTTCAGTTGGAATGTGGATGGGATGACTGCTGTGCTTTTCATCTTTTTTAAGCTGAGTATAAAAATTAAACTAGTCTTTGATTACAATGCAATGTGCTTTGTCACTCAAGTGTCCCATTTATCAGGAAGCAATAGCAGGTGTGCTGGAGCCAAAGGGTGGCTGCTGCAGAGAGCCCAGGGCAAACTCTGGGAGATGTTTTATTTCTGCTGCTACTGTTAATGTGAGTATTGGTGATGTTGGGGTGGGGCTGTTGAGGAGGGAAGCAGCAGGGGTTGAGTAGGTCTCCCTTTGCACACCCTCTGGACGTGCTCGTGCTCGTGTGCTCACTCCCAGTGTGTTTGGAAGGTATTTCTTGGGTGTCTCTGCAGCACTGCCAGCACATCCCACGCTCATCCATGGAATGGGCTCCTGCCTGCTGGCAGCAGGAATCTCCACTGGAGCTCTATTTCTCTCACACTTGAAAACAATTAACAGCCTCTTAGTATTCCTGAGGAAGTCTGGCTGTGGGGTTTTGCTAAGTAACACCTTTGGTCTGACTTTCTATACAGTGTTAGGGTCATGTCCACAAGAATATTGCCTGGGGTGGGCATTTCTGGGATGTAAATGCTAATGGGATGGGCCCAGTTGGGGTTTCCAGATATATGGCAGACAAAGCCTTGCTTGAGAGACTGTTTAGAGAAGATGTTTGTGTTGGAGGAGACATGCCCATGAGGCATCCCTCAGCAGGCTGCTCTGCTGTCTCCCAGACTGCCTTGGGTAAGTTGGCTTTGCCTCCCTCCAGGGGTGCTGGACCCGCCTGTGCAGCCCAGCTGGAGCAGACCTGGGGTGCCCTCCCTGGCCACGCTGTTCCCTCTGTTGTGCTCAGGCAGTGGCTGCATCAGGGACACGGGAGCACTCAATGCCCGCCTGTGAGGCAGAAGGAAAATTTATGTTCTAAACAACAATGCCAGCCAAAAATTGCCAACCTCCCGCTCCGTGTTTTTTATAGGACTGTCTTGGAACCAGAGGTAAATGTCTTTTAAGTATCAGCACCTAACTATGGACTCATGATTGATTGGACTGTATGTGGGTTTTTTAGATTCCTAAAATAGACTTTTGGGGCTGGAGCTGCCTGGTGTGGCACAAAATGAGACAGTGAAAACTGCACCATCGGCATCACTGGCAGGAGAGGCTGGAGCTGCAGTAAGCAACTCATTTATCTACACCAGAAAACAGGACAAATCACCCCAAGGGAAGGCTTTGGTCTGTCTCCCAGCAGAGGCTGAGGTGGGATTTGGTGTTTGACAGTCAGGGACTAAGCTCAGCCTTGCCATCCTCTGTGAGCTCACAGCCCCACACAGAGCTCACAGAGGAGCAGACCCACTCTCAGAGATCAAACCCTCCAAGGATGCCCAAGCACAGGCAGGCTGGTCACAGAGTCTCCAGCTCCCCTGTCACCTGTACAAAACATGGTGCAGGGGCAGGTGTATGAAGAGAATGAATTCACACTCGTGAGTGGAAGAAAAAATAAATCATTCCCAAAGCACCTGCAGCAGTCAGGGCTTCATCAGTATCCATTGCTTAAGAGCCCTTAACTTTTTTAAGTACTACACTGGTTTAAAAACAGACAAACAAACCAACCAACAACCGCCGAGAAACAGAACCTGACAGTCCTTTTGGTCTTCAGTGTTTTTGGAGCTGCTGGTTGGGTTGTTCCCTGTGGGGAAATGCAGGGAACTCCTGCTGGTGTGCTCAGCCCGGCCGCTGGGCCCGTTAAGGGGCCCCAGTGCTGCCGTTACAAGTTACCCCATTGAGCTGTTGGGTTCTGTTCTGGTTCCTCATGCTGAGGTTGGCTCAGCCCCCGCTGAACCCTTCCCAGCAGGACAGCACATTTGCAGCCTGCTGTGCCAGGAGCAGTGCCTGGAGCTGCCAGCATGGCCCATGGCACCAGGTAGGGAGCACTGGGCACAGACCTCTCTGGCAACCTCTGCTGAGACCCCCAGACCGGGTGTTCCTTAGGGACAGGGCTGTCTGAAGGCAATGGAATTAGAGGTGCCAGCTCATGTGACTGGGAGAGCCTCAGAATAACCAAGGGTTAGAAACCTGTGCTCAGAAACACAGTGAGCCGATGCAACAGCCACAGAGCTGTAAATCTGGCACAAATGTAACCCTATGGAAAGGACATTAAGGAGCATTTCTCGCTCCCCGCCAGTTCTCTGAGGTGTTACTGCAGTGAGAAGGAAGAAACGCTCCATTTATTCAGCCCCACTTTATCCTTCAGTGCAACAGCAGTTGCCTGAATGGACAATATATTTAAAAGCTGGTAAATTAGAAGCCAGGGTTGGCTTTTTAAATTGGAATTTTAAATCAGCTTTAAATCAGTGTTGGGATTTTAAATGAGCTTCTGTAATGCTTAAATATGAGCTGATCTGTTGGCCTTATCTGCATAGAAAATATCTCCTAATAGGGTTAATGTTTGCTAACAGTGAAATACATCACAATAAAGGGGAAGGGGGAAAAAAGGGTAGAGAAGCTGTGGCTTCCCCATCCCTGGAGGTGTTCAAGGCTAGGTTGGATGGGGCTTGGAGCAACCTGGTTTAGTAGGAGGTGTCCCTGCCTGTGGTAGGGAGTGGAACGAGATAGTTCAGGAGCATCAATCACCATGGAGCTGGGTCATTCTGCACTATCAGTATTTATTATATTTTCATCTTTACCAATAATTTCTATCTCACAATGCTGAATGAAGCAGCGAGCTTTGGAGTGGTGATGTGTTGCTGTATGAAAACTAAGTGCTCTTCTTTAGTGTTGTAATAGAATTAAATGTATTGTTTAATTGGTTTGCGAGCTGTGGGAAGTCGCTGAGCTGCGGCAGCTGCTGTGTCGGTCTCTGGGTGCAGTAGGAGAGGCTGCTCCAGGGCTGAAGGTGACTGCGTGTGAGCAGGAACGAGCCGCCAGCTCTGCCCTCCTGCAGCCCCCGGGCACTCCCAGGGCAGGGGGTGGGGAGCAGTGCCCTCTCCCTCCGCACGCCTCCATCCGCCCCGGGCAGTTTCCCAGCGGATCCCTGTGAGGTGGAAGTGCTATTTGCAGCTCCCTCGGCGCACATCGAGCAGCCCCACCCTCCCAGTGCCCCCTGTGCTGCTCAGCCACACAGCTCCTGCCTCCGCCTTGACTCATTAATGATTAAATCCTGCTCGCACTCGGCGGGACGGCAGCGGGGCTGCACCCCTGGATCCTGGAGCCCGGCGGGGAGGCAGCACCCACAGCCCTGGCGATGGTAAGGGTCTGGTGCTGGGGAGCCTCTTCTGTTCCTCTGAGCGAACCTTTAACTGCCTTACCTGCTTACCTTAACATTGATCCGTCAGCCTTTTCCTAACAACTGCCTAAATCGATGTATCTGTCAATACAGGAACTTGTAAATTAGTATTGATATTTGGAGTGCTCATGTCCGTGCTGTGCTTTCCAGATTTAAAACCTCACTCAGGTATTGAGTTTCTCCTCAGGAGCGGAGCAGCCAGGGCTCGGTGGGTGCTGCAGCTGAGGTGACTGAGCAGAGTGAGCACTCCGTAGCATTTCTGTCCCCTGCGGGGCACAGAGGAAGTGTAGAGACTTGCTGGAGGTAACTTTATTAAGTTTTGGGTATGCTGTGCTTTGTTCTGCCTCATGATCTACCTTTAAAATAAAATATGGTGCTTTGAGGGCAGAGACCTTTGAACAGGTTGTGGACACCAGAACACCTTTGAAAATGCTTAACCTTAGCTTGAGTTCAGTTTTGATCTATATCCCGGTTTCTAGCATTTTGTTTTCCCTGCTTTCTAATTGTTTGCTGACACTTTACTTTCAGCTTTCACTGAAAGCTGTGTCCTGCAGCTCCCTGCAGTGCGGGCTTTGCTGAGGAGGAAGCGGGGTGAGCACTTGAGATCCTGCTCTCTTTCCTTCCCTGTCCTGAAAGGATTTTTTTAACCAACCTTTAGAAAGAAAGCAAGCAAAATTTGTCATCAGGCAAGCTCATGCATGGTGCAGCTCCTAGAAAGCTTTGGCAGAGTGCACAGGAGAGACACTCCATCCTCCGTGCCTTTCTGGTACCCAGTTACCAGCAAAACTGTGCAAAGCACACGACTAATGGTTCTGTTAATTTAATAAACACATCTCTCCTGGCTTCCTTATGAATTCCGAGTAGTGTTGTCAGTGTGTCTGCACTGCTGCTAATGAGCTCATCCTTCATAAGCCTTGACAGAGAACTTCTGCTTTGGTGATGAGTGAGGGCTCATGGGGCCGGCGTTGGGTAATGGGGGCAGAGGACTTCCAGCAAGGGCACTGACAGGGCACTGACAGGCTGGCTTCACTTTCCTGGCTGCTGGCTTTGGCCGAGCAGCAGCTGGCACGTCGTGGCAGGTGCCTTCAGGTGCTGCTCTTACTTCAAACTCCTCACACAGATCTTTGCTCAGGCAAGTTTTTATCTTGCTCCATAACACTGGTCAGTGGCTGAAAGTGTAAATTCCATGTGTGAGAGACATTCTTTCAGGTCAAATAACCCATGAAGGCTGGAATGAAACTGGAGGATGTATTCACCAATTACAGCAACAATATAAACATGGAAATGTTCTTTTATTCATTTTTTTGTGGTTTTTTTTTCCTTTTAACTTTCCAGGCTGTGAATGAGACCAGTGACTGCTTGCTGACAAACAGAGTCCTAGAAAAGTATTATCTCTCCACCATGTATACCCTTGAGTTCATTTTAGGCTTCATTGGAAACACCATTGTGGTGTTTGGCTATATCTTCTGCCTGAAAAAATGGAAAAGTGGCAACATCTACCTGTTCAATTTATCCCTATCAGATTTGTTATTTCTCTGTACTCTGCCAGTATTGGTGAACAGCTACTCCCACGATCAGTGGGCAAAGCAGGACATCCTGTGCCACAGCAACAGATTCCTGCTGCATGCCAACCTGTACAGCAGCATCCTCTTCCTCACTGCTGTCAGCGTTGACCGGTACATGCTCATAAAACACCCCTTCAGGGACCACGTCCTTCAGCAGAGGAGAACGGCTGTCCTGGTGTCCATTGCCATCTGGGTTGGGGTGATCCTGGAGCTGCTGCCACTGGTGCATTTCCTGGAGCCTCTGACACCTGCCAATAATTACAAGTGTCTTGATTATGCGAGCTCTGGAGACCCCGCAGAAAACCTCATCTATAGCATGTTCCTGACTGTCTTCGGGTTCCTCATCCCTCTCTTGATCATGTGCTGCTTCTACGTGAAGATGGTTCGGTTTCTTAAAAACAGGAGTGAGCAACTCAGCTCTCCCCTGACCCTCGAGAAGCCTCTCACCCTCGTGGTCCTCACCGTGGTGATCTTCTCCCTGCTCTTCACTCCCTACCACGTCATGCGCAACGTCCGCCTCGCTTCCCGAATCCCGGCCCTGAACGTCCCCGAGTGCACGCAGGGCATCATCAGCACCATTTACGTCATCACGAGACCCCTTGCCTTTCTGAATAGTGCCATTAATCCTGTTTTCTATTTCCTCATGGGTGACCACTTCAGAGAGATGCTGATGGCCAAAACAAGGCAGCTCTTGCACAGGCTGACGGTCACCAGGTGGTGAGTAAGGAAGGAGAGCCCCTGGTAGTGGGAGACGGCAGGGAGGGAACTCCCTAGGGAGAACAATCAGTCATGTGCCATTTTTTTTAGATAACCTTATTTATGCTATAGAATAAGTGTGAGCTGATTGTGTTCCTGGAAATGCACCTGTTACCTTATTGTACAGGAGACCTGCTGCTGAGCTGCCTCCAGCAGACCAGGAGAGGTGCTCACTCCCAGCAGTACAGGAGGACCCTGCTCTCAGAGCACAATACCCCCCAGCACATCAATATTGTAAACAAAAGACCATCAAGTCAGCTCTTGGAGGGAAAAACACACTGCTCTCAAATAACTGCTTTGTGAGCCATGATGTGATGCTGGGCTGGAGCGAGGATGGGCTAAAACGAATGTGTCTTTGTACTCAGCAGGACAGCCAGGCAAGCTCACAGGGCCATTCTCACAGTCACTCAGCAGAGTATGGAGCTACCTAACTTTAATGTAGTTGTCTATAAGTGCCAGCAGAATGTATGGCCTGAGGCAGAATTTGGACCTTAGAGTTCCGACTTCATTAGCAGTTCTGCTAATGAACCAGGAGCTAACAAGGAGCCAGTCCCTGCCTGACATCCCTGTGGGATCGATTGGCAGCACAGCTTATTCTCCAATGGACTGTCCCACGTTCAGATGGAAAGGGGGAAGAGATCAATGGAATAATGACCCTGTAGGAGTTTGGGCTGGAGAAGGAGCTGCCTGGAGGGAGTGGGGACAGGGTGTAGGCAGCCCCCTTCCCTGCCTGCATCCCTGCAGGAGATGAGGAGCCCCCAGCCCTGCCTGGGGACTCGCTGCTCCACAGCACAGGGAACAGGACACCCGCTGGGTCCCATCCAGGTCACCCTGGGTTCAGCTCTCTCTGCTGTGTCGATCATCTTCAACTGCTTCACTGTGCCAGAGATAGCAGCCCCAGATAATAAACCCTGCATCCTGCTTAAAAAAATAGAAAAAGTCTCCTTTGTGTTGTTTCACTTTATTTGCTGATCTCTGGAGTGTCCCTGAAGCCTCACCCTCTGCCTTGGTCCATGTCACACGGTCCTGTGCCTCGGCACGGTCCTGTCACAGCGTCACCAGAGCAGGGGCTGGTTCCCAGCAGCAGTGCTGTGCCTGCCAGGGGGGTCACTCTGGGCTCTTGGCAGCAATCCAGAAGAAACAGTTTTGCTTTTGGTTCTTTTTGCACAGAAACAGCCATGCAGAAGCTCAAGTTACTTTGTCAGTTTAGTCATCCCGCTCGAGGCTGGGTTTGCTGGAACAGGAGGCACTACCAGCCCAACAGCATCCAGGTGTCACTGCCCTGGCCTTGCCTGGGTCCTGCTCTGCTGTCCTGCCCAACGAGTCTAGTCCAAGCCCTGAGGCAGGGGCTGGAGCCACGGGCACACTGGCTGCCACTGCCCTCTCCAGAGATGTGTCTGTACAGCACGTGGCATCCCATGCCTGGGTATCTATGGCCAGGAGGTGATTTCTCTTCATAAACAATGTGTAGTGACAGTTCTGGTGCATTAATATGCTCAATTAGTTGTTTTGCTGTGTCCACAGAGGTGAGCAGAGTCATCTGCTCCGAGTGGCTGAGTCACTAAGGATACCTGCCTGTGTACACACCAGCGTGGCATGTACCCACACAGCTGTTCCCCGTTGGCTGGGTACCCACAGATAATCATCTCCAAATATATGCTCCTTCTGTCAACATATACCAAAGATCCATCATCAGAAAGGTGCAAAGTCAGGCCTGGTGCCTGTGCCCCTGGGAGCCCAGCACTGCTGAGCAGAGCTCCCAGCACTCCATCACCTGGTTCCCTGACAGAGATGCTGTTATTGCCCCAGCACCTGCATGAGTCACATCACAGCACCTTCTCTTTAGCTGGGGAGCTCCAGAGAGACCTGCTGGCCTCTGATCTCTCCCCCTCTGAGGCAGCCCTGCTTTGTACCTTTGGTTTAGTGGCAGTCTCTAAAGTCTCCATGACCTCCATTTCCCCAAACTTATGGGTGAAATTTCTGGTCATTACACAGTTTACTGTGGCTTTGCTGGTCTTGCAATTAAAAATGTGATCAAATAGAATAAAAAACTCTATGTTGAGTTCCACATGCATGCTCCTGTCTGATTAATTCTTCTATTCCTGAGTAGTACACGAAAGAATTTGAATTAAGAAAGCCCCAAAACACAATCTGTTTCACCTGAGCTAAGCTAAGCAGGTCTGAGCTGGGTGCAGGTGTGGGTGTGGGTGATGGGCTGTGGGTGCAGGTCTCCCCTGGGCAGAGCCGTGCTTGGACTCTGGACACCAGCACAGCTGGACACGTGCTCTGGGCTTTGGTTCGGGGCCAGCCAGGATTTTTTTGGTTTCATTTTGTTTTGTCTTCCCTTATTTTGGGTGGGGACTGGAAATGCCTCCAGAACAGGAATTCAGCTGTGAGTCAGCCTGAAAATAGTCCAAGTATGTTTTAGTGGCAGTAAGTGATCTAAAAATAACTGTTCCTGGGACGAGCCGTGGGGAGGGCGAGGGGCCGCTCTGCCCTCGGCTCTGCCCTCGGCTCTGCCCGGCCCAGCAGCCACTTTCCTGGGAAACACAGGGCCAGGACACTGGGCTGCTTTCAGCCATCGCTTTGGGCTCCTGACAAGTCAGTCTGAGAGGGAGATATGTTCTCCAGCAGATGCCTGGTCGGAGGGGATGGAGCTGCGGGAACCTGCCTTTGGAGGGAAATGGCAACGAGCGCCACACCCACTGGGAAACACATGGATCTGCTTTTTTATTCATTCCAAACCCAGGAAAACCTCAGCTCGTCTGCAGCTCGGAATGTGTAAAACGTCCTGCAGGGTTTTTCCTGACATTTAGAGGGTATTTCCAGGATTTGCCTTTGTTCCCATCCCCTCTTGCCCTGCCGCTGCCTCGGTGGTGCTGCTCTGGGCACAGGCTCCTTGGCCCCCAGCTCTCCACAGTGCTCTGTGCCACAGCAGCTCCCGCTCTGCATTATTTTAAAAATGATGTCTAAGATCTCTCCAGCAGAGCAGGAGTGCCCACAGGGCCGTGGGTTCAGCACTGTGCTGTGCCAGGACTGGCTGCCTGTTCAGCCCTGGACATCTGGGGTGAGCTGACACCCTCTGAGTCCCACTGGTGTGTCCGACCGTGTCACTGGCACGTGGCAATTCAAAGTGTAACTGCTGATGTTGGCAGCAATGGAGACATTAATTTAGCTAACTTCTGCTTGGTTTCAATTTGGGTTCTACTTCCTAAAATTATTTAAGCTCAATAATCTTCCTGGAACCCAGGAGGAACTTTACACTCTGGGAAGTCTCTGTGCCAGCCCAACACTCCCCTTTGGCTGGTGAAGTGTTGTCACCCAAGCAGCCCCCCAAGGTCTGTGGGCAGCACCTGAGGTGGGCAGCACCACACACTTCAACAAATGTACTTTTACATGTCTGTTCAACGCAGCTTTTGGATCAGCAGCGTCAGGGTCTGAGCTGAGCACAGGAACACCTGAGGGCAGGGCATTGCAGGTGACTGATTGCAGGGCAAGGTGCCTGTTAGACTCATCTCCCTCTCAGCTTTCCATGTCTTACCATGATGTTGACCTGCATAAAAGTGGAACATTTAACTCCTGCTCTGTCCGTTCCTGTGCTCTTGCCTCACTTCCTGACATAGTCACATAAAAATCCCAGGATGAAAGGTCTCATGAATAACCTTTCAGCTGAAATAATTGAGTAATTTGATAAATAAAGCAATCTAACAGCTTGCCTGCTGACTTCTGAAATAAACTGTGTGCTCTCAGCTGCTGCAAGGCTCAGTCTTAGCAATTCTGTCTCCTTCCCAGAGAGCTGCTCTGTTTGGTGAGTGCTGTTCAGGAACAGACACAGCCCACCTGTTGTTGGCTTGATTCCTTCTTTCTGATGGGAAAGGTGAGGACTGAACCTGGCACAGCCCAGCTTTCCAAACCCCCCGAGGAAACCTCCCGAGGGAGCTGCTGACCTGCCCAGCTGGGTGATGCAGTGCTGGGCAGGGCTGAGGGGCTGGGGCAGCTGGCAGTGCTGATGAGCCAGAGGAGGGGATGGATACCACCTGCCCCAGGAGCTCCATCAGAGAGGGTGTGAGACCCAGAGGGGCTAAACAGGAGCCGTGGTACTGTTTCCTTACCTGCACAAGGATCCCAGTCCTGTGCTGCCTGCAGGATGTGGGTGGGAGCACCCACAGTGCTGTGCCACAGGGGCATGAGGAAGGACCCAACCCAACAGGTAAGAATGAGCTGACAGTTCTCAAATGTCTTTTTTCTACCTAAATAAATTACAGCAGAAGAAATTACTGCTGAACGTGGCATTTCTTGGGAAAGCCTGTTTAGATTATTTGCTGGAGACAGAGCTCGTGTGAGCGCTGTGTGGGTGTTGGGCTGTGGTGGGACAGTCAGATGGAATCAGGAGTTACTGTAGAGAAACAAAGTGACCCAGTTTGGTTTATCTGGCAGCGGAAATGTGTGTTTAGTGTTTGTGCAGCAACGTGAGGGGGAACTGGTCTATGCTGAGGCTCTCTGTGACACGAGCAGGAGGGCTGTGGAACGTGGCACATGGAAGCAGGGTTGGCACACGGGGCCTGTGGCTTCTGTGGATGGAGCAGAGGGGCAACGTGCAAAAACCAGAAATATCCCCTGCAAATGGAAGTTCAAAGAGCAGATGTAAGCCAAGGCATCAGCCAGGAGCTGCACACGAGGGCTCTGCAGGGATACACATGTCCTTGGCTGGTCTGGGAAATGGCTCGGGATGTGTGAATCATTCCAACGTGCTCTCTCCATCCTTGGAATGGTAGCTTTAGAAATCATTTGGACTTCCTCTTCTTCCTTTAAACAAACAGTCCCCAAGTCTCCTTTCCCCTGGTCAGCCCATGGAGAGTCTTAAAATGAATGTAGCTTTACCTAATAGACCTTGGGCTGCTCACGTCTGCTTTGTTATTGAGCAGCTCCCGGCACTTGAGTTTGCCATTCTCCTAATGAAATACA